TCTACAAGTTTGATTAATCAAATTCAATTTTAGATGTTCGTAACTGTCAATCAAGTCATTTTCAAATGTCTATTTAGTTGTTTTCATACAGCAATGCAATCAGCAACAATGTGAAAGATATTCATCAGTAGTTAGAATTAATCACATGATGAAACAAACAGATATAACATTTGAGCCGTGTCACGACAAAACCAACATAATGCGTTTGCGACCAGCATGGATCCAGACCAGCCTGCGCAGTCTGATCAGGATCCATGCTGTTCGCTATCAGTTTCTCTACTTGTAAAATGGTTGGTAAGCGAACAGCATGGATCCTGATCAGACTGCGCGGATGCGCAGGCTTGTCTGAATCCATGCTGGTCGCAAACCCATTATGTTGGTTTTGTCATGACACGGCTCATTTCATACAGAATTGTTCAGTAATAAAACGACGACCGATTGATATTTTCGCGAGATTGTTTTATTACTGAAGCATAGAGAAAAAAACACCACGTCATACGTTTACTTAAGGCTTACACAGAACACTAATATAATTGTCATATATTAATCAATTAAGTTTACATTATTACACGCTCAAAACGTGTATTTTATTATCATTCAAATATACATCTGCTAATTTATTTCGTCATTAATGGCAAATACAGTTTATAATCATTGTTGTATGGGGTTCTATGACTTAAAGAAAGTAAAAAAACAGGCAAGTTAAGTCTTATTAACATATCATAAGTAAATGCCTTCCATTAAATCGCTGCGGCCGATGAAATAAGCATACAATGTTTGATTACTCTAAAGCAGACAGATAACATTTCTTTGGAAAGAAAAACACTTTTAAACCTTTTAAAGAAAGTTCAAAAATTATTGTTCTAGCCAAAGATTTTATTTGACGTGTGGGGAATATTTATTGCCAGCAGAATTATCTGCTAGCTCTGATTCAATGAAGAAAGTAAATCCACAAGAATCTTACTAAAATATTTATCATCCACTGCTCGGAACAGTAAAACTGAACATTTACTTCTGTCTTTAATTCTTACTCTAAAAGATAAGATAGCTCGGAAAACGTGTGATTTATTAGATATCGACATTTCATTCCGAACAGATGTAAAGGCATGGCCTGGAAACAGTAATAAATTGGAAGGAATTGCTGGTAAATATTTAATGGGTTCCTATCAAGAAAATGTCTAACCGATTGAAATGACTTTTTAATGCCAAAGTAAGTTGATTCGCCGACTCCAGCAATTAAAGTCAAAATACATACAGTTGTATTACATTGCAGTTCTTGATAAAACACGTAAGATGAACGACTACAGGAAAACATATGCGTTAAATATTCTGAACCAGCTCATCTGTGAAATAACCATGTTTTTTCTTTCTAAAATACATTGAATTTATTAAAGCAGGAAACAAGTACAGTGAATCATGTAAATTTACTTATATACTGCATCAGAGTAAGAATTGCCATAACTTTTGTTTGTTATTCAATGCTTTTAATCAATTAGAATGAAAATATACAAATTGTATAACTCGTATTTTACACAAACATTTATATTCCTATCTGTAGCTTTGATACGTGTATGCTGATTTATTGTCAAATCTTCGGATGGTACACGTAGATTACAAAAGAGAAAGGAACGCTTCACAAAACTTCCAAAGTTTGCTTATTGTTAGGAAGAACAAATGTATGATAAATACGAAGAAACACTGTGGAATTTCGTTCTTCTGCGAGGGGAAGAAATCAGAATGAAAGTTATTCCTATTTATCACGATTGAAGGACGTTAAACGGGCATTCATGATGAAATCATCATGTAGCAACTGTTTAAAAATGATATTATATAAAGCCCGCGATAAAGAGTAAATCAAGAATGAAGGAAAGGTTCATATATTCAAGTGTTGGCAAGTTAACCAGTTGCATCATGCAAGCGTGTCAAATAAATTGCGATTTTATTAATGCAATCAATGTATCTCAGTTATTTATGGTGTGTGTTACAGTAATTAACTCTCAATAGTGCTATCATTCAGCTAGGAAATATATTTATTAGCAAGCATTGATTAAACAATGATAGCTGACTCAAGATGTATACGCATAACAATTTATGTACCGTATATAAAATGCTAACAAAAAGCTTTTTACGGCGTATGTCTCAATTTCATAAACATGAGATGAGTTTTATAAATGAATAATTCAATAAAACGTAGGATGACATGTTTTAAAACTGATAAATATAACTCCTAGTCCTTCAAAAGAAAAGACAATATTTCACTTACTATGCCAAAAAGACATTAACTTCCATGAAGGAAATGCCTTTCCGGCGTATAGCTTCCTTTAAGCATTCCGAGTAGAATAATTGACTACCGATAATGCTATTTAATACAGTTCCATTTACTGCAAGTCCTTACAGAATTGTCGCTCGCGGCCATACATCACGGTTTTATATCACGACTCTCCCTTGGGTTTTCCTCGTCTCCGAGATTTGCGTATCACTTACTGAAAATTGTCAATTTTCTTTCTACCTTTCACGAGAACGTGTTAGGACAACACCAATGAACGCATTATGTTCCGGAGAAAACATTTTAATAACATACATCAATGAAATTAAATGTCAAATGTTCAGAGAAATAAATCTTAAAGATATGTCTAATTAGATGTACATGAATAAAAATTGGAGTAAATGAAAAGTTCCTTCTTTCGGGATAAAATGCATTGGAAATGCTATGCCATCCAGTTTGTGTAAATAAACATATCTAATCTGAAACCGAGACGAAAATATATCTATATTATGTAAAACAACCTTGACAGAATGAAATCTGTTGATAAATGGCACATAAGCGCATACAGAATCAAAACCAGATTTCAAAATTTCATGCACTCGTTGAGCTAGAATAAATTTTACGAATTTGTAAATAAGTATATTAATAAGATTAAAAAATATGCAAGAATTGTTTATGCTGGTACACTATCGAGTTAAACGTGGAAAAATTCAGTCACGTCAATCGCACTTGTATTTCTTCATGCTAACATGAATTCAAAAAATAGTTTACACTATCATGACCCAAATATTATTAATTTCGTAAAAATATCGTGGGAAGTTTATTTTATCACTGTTTCTTTTTCTGAAACCATGATTTTTCAAATGTGTAGCAATAAACTGGTGGCTATTTTTAAGCTCTAGCCTATGTCTACGTTTGTTCTTGTCTCACTGTGACGTACAAAGACATAATCCAATGTGTTACATAATTCTTGCAAAATTATATTCACTTAACTATTTATGTCAACCATTCAAGCGATAACACTCACACGTTTGTAGTGTTTGTACCAGAAAACGGTGATGACAGAGAAATTTGGTGGCTCCAAAACAACCATCTAGGCATACTCTAACATGTATTTATCACCGAAAATTGCTACATGCAGGCTGTAATTTAATCTTGTGATAAATGAAAATAGGGGCATGCAAATCTCCGACGCCGTATCTTTCTATGAGCTTTAATGAAAACCTTTTAATGTTCTATTTGAGTTCTCTATAATGTAAATTCTTGTTATTGTAGACAACATGTAATTATGCTCTTACAGAAGTATTGAAAAAGAAGTTAAGTCCGAATAAAGTTTGCTTTTGCTAAATCAAGATTACGGAATGTTGATTCAAATGGCGATAAGAATAACGTTTTGCACATTAACGAAGACTGCTCGTATCAGTTTATCTTTTCTGTCACATTTTTCATTGTCTGAGACATGTTATCACACTTCGTAACATACGACTTTTTAGAGATTTTTAAATTCAGAACATATCTTACATACGATTGGACAGAATTAAAGATAAGACAAATGTTCTATACTCATCTCAAATTTATTTCGGGCTCGTGTATTATTTTTTATAAAACAATCATATAATTTGGATTAATTAAAGAAGTTCAATCGTGGTCAATTTATTAAGTCTGACATGTTTGCATAATACACATTGTAATATAAAACTTGGCTTTTATAGACTGACACTAAGCAATGAAACATGTTTTGACTGAACAAAACAAGAAAACAACAAAAAACAAACAAACGGGATAATAACATAATTACATAAAACATTTATACTAATAAGGCAAAAAACTAAAGTTATATTAAAGTAAATGTTCATTTTAGCAACACAAACATCTTTTACTAAACCTTATCATCGAAATGTAAAAAAGGTTTGTTCACTACTGCAACAATCTCGAATGTCAAATATAAACACAACACACATAATCTTTCCCACATATTATTAAAGTCTGAGCATGTTAATAATACACTTAAAACGTAGATTTAATGATTTAATCGCACACTTTTGCATCTGAAATTTCTTCCCACGGTTTACATAAATGAAAAGTTCTTTACATTTTTTTATCCCTATGTAAATTTTACTTGAAAGTAAAAACTTCTCGGCTTAATTCAAAACCGAGCTTTATAAAATGTTTCAGAACGTTTGCTCTACCTCTCAAAACATTATCCTTTATTTTCTTACTGACACTATATTTGATCTCATTGATCCATCATTTGTTTTTTCTCATGTACATAATAATGAAAACGCACATAGAGAAAATTGGTGTAGTCTTAGTAATTTTGTACCTCGTATTAAATTTGTTTACCGATAAAATAACATCAATACCAAGAAAGTCGTTGAAAATATTAAGATTTCATTAGTCTATAATATATTATCAATTTAATAAGAAGTTTTTCGTTTGCAAATATATATGTAAATCACATGATCAGTACTAGCTCATTCATTTATTCATGGCAATGTCGCGCAGTGTTTTCAAAATGTCCATTGTACCTCAAAATATAATTGATTGCATTTTTAAGTTATACATAATTAATACACTGACAGTTCAAAGCCACGTTTTTCATTAAAAATAATATATTTATCAATATTTTTCATTGATTACCTTTACGTTGATAAGTATGAAAAGATAAATTACAAAGCAATCAAACAAAACAAAAATAATTCTATTAAAGTACAATAAATCGTTTAAAACATACCTCAATAACTGTTCCAAATAGTGCAATAGTCCGATTTACGATACCATAACTATATATTCATAAACTTTTGAAAAAAAAAAACTTTAAACTAAGATGATGTGTACAAAGATGAATTGTATATCATTTACGCGTACTTTACTGTCAACACTTAACACAAACAATCTTGAGAAAACGAACTTATTCCAGCCAAAGAAGTTCCACGGGATAAAAGCATTAATCAACTCGAAGAGATCTCTCATAGAAAGAGTACATAATCCGCTACGAAATACAAACACAAATGAAAAAACGACTGTAATCTTAAATTAACCAATATGTTACAGAAGTCAAAGAGACAATACCTCTCGTTTCATGTGAGAGAACAGTCTTATTGGTCTCGGTTCTCTGGGCAGAATGTGTCTGTAGATAGTACCGACGCTAAAATCAATGAAGATCAGGCGAACACTGCCAGAATACAAACCGTTATTGACAGAACATTAACTGCTTATAAATACTTTTTCCCATAGAATGAACATTATTATTGTATTTCTATAAAAAAAAGATGAAATTTGCCATAAAGGATGGGGAAATTCGGGCACATTATCGTCTAAAACTAATATTTCATTAAGTGGATAGGGACTTTTAAACCTGTTTAATTACAGCTTTTACGTGCACAGTAAATTATGATCCTGGGATAAGCTAATGCAATCATGGAATTTGATATTGAAAATATTTAAAAAAAGTATTTTTTTTAAATGTTAACTGCAATTTACAGTAATATTTTAAGAAGAAAAAGAACCGGAACTATTTTACAAAATTTTAGTGAGTAATGAAATCATGTTAAATTATATGTGGGGGCGGTCTTAATTTACATAACGGGTCCATAATTATTTGATCAGAGAGAAAAAGTAAGCTTTAATGACTATGCAAGTAATGCATAAATTTTGATCATATCTATCACATTTAGGTAATCTGTAAAAAATCCATTTGATAAATACCTTATTATAAAGAAAACGATATTTCGGATGGAAAACAAAAATTTCAACAATAATTATAAATTTTATGGATGTGATATAAGTATAATGCACAATTAGCAATATTGTAACGTAGAACGATATATTTAAGTTGAAACATATAATTAAAAGTTGGATTGAACCAAAAACGCTTGCAGCTTCTTTTAATCACTCTCGAGTCCGCTTCCTGGTTTTGAGGAATTATTGTTCTGGTTGCAGTATCCCGTACCCTTCCTCTCTTTGTTGAAGATCAAACACATTATCAATAACCAATTATCATTAATGATGTATTGTTTAGCAAGTTGTACGCTGCTATACTCGAAATCAGCCCAATAAAACTATTCTGAGATTTGCAAAAGCATAATACTTTTAAGGCTTTGTCCTTTGCTAAAACAATTTAATTCATATTTTGCGATAATGTATTGTAAATGAACTATATTTTACATAATATTATATAAAACATTTCAAACAACACAGCAGTTATGATACATTGTCACAGTTACAAATCGTCTAAGAGCGTCAGTCTAGTTAAAGAGATTCAATAGTTCAGAGTGATAGACTTATCTATATCTTGATCATCATTTACAATGCATTTTCAATTCAGTTATTCCTATTCTTCATGTAAACAAAATGCAATGTCGTACCTTTTTATGATTTTTATTAACTCGAAATGGAAATATGCAACTACTTAAATAAGAATATAAAAGACAGAAATCAAAGATTACGTAGTACTCCTCGTTATTATTGAATAACTGCCATACAATTCAAGCCATATTTGAATTCCATTTATTTCTAGACACACTGGTTCTGCCTGTCTTTCAAAATTCAGTCCCAATTTTGCTGATTCATTCTTTATAAGCAAGCTCTAAAATGCCAATGAAGTGTGAACGCAACAAAGCAAGAAAAAGTCTATGGAACATAATCACCGCAAATAATACAAAGGAGCATAAACAAATAAATCCTTTCGTAAAAGAAAGGAAACTTTTGTTGTTTTAATAACTGTCAACGTTGTTCAATGGAAGACATGGCGAATACTCTTTTGATTGTAATAATTCAGTCAGATGTGACATGTCAGTGATAATTGAAGCTTGAATTATGGCAATCCTGGGTCCAACTCTTATACTCTGACAATTTTATGGCAAAACGCCAAAGTTCGTTTACAAGCGGAGACATATATTGGACAATATTTCAAGCATTATAGAGACAAACAGGTCTTATGATCATAACTATGCTCCTTTCAATAAAATAAGTGCATATAAAGAAAACTATGTGCACTGAAGAAGTATGGAATTGTTTTATTTTCCATATGGTATAGGAAAGGTTATCCTTATGTTTAATTACAATTACAATTACTTTGAAATTACCAGGTCTAACAAAGGGTGCTCCCATTAGGGTAGAGGGTTTAACTGGTGAGAGTCCTGATCATGAACATTGCATGTGAGATAATTAAATGTGCACCATATCTTAACACAACCAAGCACTGGTTAAAGCAGTATTCAATTTTTAACACTATTGGCATCGATGATCTGGAGGGACGGGAAGTATAACATTATTGAGATGAAGGACGGGTCAATTCTTTACGGCTGTTCTGCACAACAGTAAACACCTGCTGTTTTATGTATAGACATTTGATAGAGACCACTCGAGAGTACTTAAAACAAAATAAAAAGGAAAAAATGTAGAATCGGTTTGATTAAATCTGTTTAAGAGACATAATAATGATAACATTTCTCATACCCCACCCTAGCACCGGCTTAAGCAGTATTCGATTTTCAACAAATGCGGACAATGCTTTTTAATGTTGCAATTAACATTAAAATTCTGTTTTCTCTTAAATGATCAAATCAAAATAAACATTTGCATTTATTGACAGGCAATTTGATTGGCTAAATTAAAGTATGTACAAAGCCTGATCATGCATCAGCATGGCAATACCACTGTTCCCATCGACAGTGTTAAGCGTCATGCGGATGAATTAAATATAGTTATTTATCGCATCATTGTACATCAGATACAAAGAATGGTCGCTGCATCGTTCTCATATATCTGCAATTAAATAATGTTTTTATTGTCAAGAGATGCTTACATTCTGATCACTTAAGCTTATTTGTTTTTGTTTCTTTGTCGTTTGTCCTAAAACAAAATGTTATCTAGTAAACCTTTTTGGTTAAAACATAACCACTCAGCCACGGACGCCCGTCTTAATTGTATCCGGTAAACAGTAAAACGCAAATTTTAAAAAATATGAGACATGCGAAAGCCGATCATGTCAAATCTGTTATAATAGTGTAAATTTCCTTTATTTTTGAGACTTGTACTTTTCAGAAAAGACGAGATTATTTCAAAATTGAAATCAACTGACAACATTCTTTTACGTGTTTCATTTGAATCAATAATTTATAAAATGCGGAATCATTATTTATACCAGGTAACTGACACGTAATCGATACATTTTAAGTATATATTTACCTGGTTGTTTGGTGAAGCATAAACTCTAGGTTATAAATTTTATCCACTAGAAAGTGATACAAGTTCAACGATAACGGAAACTCAAATAAACAAGAGAGTTATTTGTAACTGTAAAACAACAATTATTAATTATTTACATGTCTCGCTCTCATCTCAGACGCAAATAATCAAATGGACCTGTCATTGTTGCAATGATTTAATGTGCGCAGGTCCTCTTTCCATTGCCCATATACGACGTTCTGATGTTAAATCACTGGTTGTTAATTACCGATGTATTGGCAGTATAGATAACAAGCTAACAAGAAAAGACAATAAATATCTTGATCCTTTCATCGGGAAAGAAAACCTAATTTAGTACTCGTGTATAGCAGCAAATTTGCCCTGATGTATGTTACAATGATGCTAGTAAACTACTATCATTAATTTACCATTTGTTGTCTTTCTATATCAACTTTAATTGTAGAACCCGACAATAGAATGTACAATGCTAAAAATCCTAAAAAATTCTCAATTTGTATATTATAAGCATATTTTATTAATGAAAAGAAGTAAAACTTTGATTAATGAGAATTTTCATAAACTTCGTATAAGAAAATAAACAATAATTTAAAAAAGTGAATGACAAAAAGTGTCTTATTCATTTCAGACATTTGCAAGATCAGATAACTGTAAATCAAGCATTTGATTTTTAAAAATTTCTTATTATTTCATATATAGTCATTAAAGACACTTCAATACTATTCTACGACTCAATTTGCTTTCCTTCAATGAGTAAACACACTGCATTGTTTTTCATCGAAAAAGCAACGGATGCAAACTAGAGGAGAATTTCTATCATCTCGCCTTAGCAACACTTTTTAATTATGATTCTTTTAATCAAGCAAAGTTAAAAATATCCACGCTAGTTTGAATTTCCGGCGTTGTCTTTGTTAAAAATTTTGTTAATGTAAGAAAATGAAATGTAGAGTGGAAAAGTAGATGAAATAAATAAGATCTAATTAAATTTCTCGTGAAATAATTATATCAGAACTTGAACTCCAAACGCAAGTGAAATGTAAGCAATGTTGTAAACCCTTAATAAATGAAGCGTGGAGCAATTCATATCAAAGAACACGAAACAGAGTGATTCTTAATTTATCTTCAAGTTCCACTTGCATAATTATGTTCAAAATAATTGAGGGACAAATTTTATTTAACATAAGATGCTGAGCCAGACAGATTATTTAAGTATATCCCTGTGGAGTGGTTAACAATAAATGTAGTAATATGAGACGTTATATGCACAAGCCTGTGATATAAAAGAAGCTTATTCAGAAGTTGTGTGTTTTATAGACAAATATTAAGTCAACAACATATCGTAGAATCATACTTGGGTGACTTCTCACTGATAAAATACAAATTCATGATTGGTAGTTTTCAATGCATTTTACTTAACTATTAAGAAAAGCGAAAATGTGAATGTTAGCATTGACTCTCGAGAAAACCATAGGAAATATAACTCACGATTCTAAGACAGAACCTATCCTTTACACTAACTATTTGTTGATTGATTTTACTGGCAATTAATGTGAAGCAAGGCAAGTGATAACCAAGGACATTTAACTTGGAGAATAATTGACGTGACTTCAAAGACATTGTACGTTTTAACTCGCTGTTTGCGAGCACTTAGAAAAACATTGCATTGTTAGTCTACTTAGTAGTAAATTTCCTTATCTCTTGGATCTTGACACATTCACGATGATTCAAACCGTTTAAACAAGGAATGCTTATTCCATCTTATAAGTGAATAAACTAAATAAATATAGATGTATAGGTCTTGAGCATTTTATTAATTGGGATGCAATAATTCAGTTAATCGTTTGTTTCATATATATCATTATTATATTACTCAAAATAAGTCTTATAGCACAAAATTATACAAAACATAGATTTGACTTGGATACCTTCTTTTGCTAAAAAATACATGCACATCTCTATGTAAATCTTTATAA